CATACTGGATCTTGGACACTGGTCACAATCGACACAAGGATGAACCGGACACAAAGACAGATGCAGCACCACTGGCCTGGACGCTCAGTGCCGGAACAACTGCAACTTCCGACTGCACGGCAGACGTCACTAAACAGGTGGGAAGTTCGATTTCCCTTTTGTCATAGTAAACGCTCACGTGTGCAACAGGTGACACAGGTGCTCGCTGCCGGTTTTGACCTGACATACTGTCAGGCGATTCGTCGGTAGCTCCGCCCTCTGGGAGACGGCAACGCAGCACAGCAGCAGACCTGGTTTAACGTGGCATCACGAAAGAAGTGATTATAGACAAATCTGTGTGAGTCAAGTTTAAGAACAGAAGTTTTCGTCGCCGTCGGAGTCGTCAGCTTTGTCAACAGAAATTTTTTGTCTCCTTCATCGTCAGGTGCTCTGTGACTTTTCTTTTCATCGTATGATCCTACGGTCGGAAGGTGAGTCACGCGCGAAGTTGTGAACGGGGCGCGGAATGCAGCATGTGTTTCTGTGTTTGTTGAGATCACCACCTTGAGTCATTTCTATAAGCAGAACGTGTCCGTCTTGCGATGCACGCTGTACTCGCAGCTGCACAACGTTACTGCAATAACGCACTGGTTGCTGCATTGTAGAGAGAAGCATTACTCTCCAAAAGCAGATCCCCATATGCCCTGTTCCTTCAAGTTCCATCCTAGTTCCCTGGACAACATCTGTCCTCTTTCGTCCCTCAGTCAGAGGTTCATGGGCTGGAGCAAATCACTTTTGCATACCCAGCTTTTTTAACCGGGCCTACATTCTTTTCTTATCCCTACATCTACCAGGTCACCTGGGTTCGACGCCGAATAGAATCATTTATTACAGTGTTCTACATTTAACCCTCACAATGGATCGAGACTAAGGCTGCTACGTGCAATTCAACCATCGTTCTTGCTCCTTCGTTAGAACAACTGTTTTAATGTCGTACACCAAACACAGCTGAGATGGACAAGATATAAACACAACATGGGAACCGAAGGAACGGCGGTAGAGCTATGGACTGTTTGAGTCCTCAGACAGCAAGCGACTGAATTCAGGTATGAATTCAGGTTGAATGAGGTATGTCAAAGGTTAACAAAGCTTAAGGTGTTAGTTTAAGCGGAATGACGAAAGAAACGCGCATTTTACAAAGACATGAACCGATATAGAGATGCACGTATAATGACCAAGCAAAAATAAATATTAAGCTTAGCGGAGTGGAAGGATTATCTCAGTCGATTGCGCTATATATATAAAAACAGCACAGTTGCTATAACGTCCATGACATCCATCAGTGTCAAATATATTTTAAAGTAAAAACGAACGAG